CAAATTGAATCCTCGAGAAAAGTTCCGAAAAATGGTGCCAACGGGGGACCACACACCATATAGTTGGTACATAATTAATGGGGCAACTAAAATGGTTAAGGAAGATTAATACCAAAGGGCATTGTAAAAATACAAATAAGAGAATATGGGGTTAATTACAAAAATACCACTGATCGTAAATTTACCTAACATGAAAACACAAAGAGCATATAAATATACTACCAAAATATATAGGCAATATTCAACTGAAACACAGTCAAAATTGAAAAAACAAAGAATATTGGCTATTTGGCTATATATTTTACAACTTCGTATTGATGATAAGGCCAAGATGGGCTGTACTTTACGATTTCTTGGCTGTAGAACGGGTCATAGAAATTCATGTAATTCTTTAAAAACAAAAAAAAATGAAAGAAAAATAAAACAGAATATATACATTTCTTTAGCTTCTCAATCCAAATTATTTTCTCCAAAAGAGGCTTCAATTTCCAAATCCTCTGTTTCACACACTATGTTTTCCATTTCAAAGCACGTCTCCTCTTTCTTAGACATCCCAATTGAATTTCTCTATTTTGCTACCATTATTACAAATGAGAAAAAACATAAAAAAAGGATAGTAACGCATTTTGCATCTCTCAGTTGCTGAAGTGCTATAAGGGAATCCAATTTTGCACAATCTAATTAAGCATAACTGATTGACATTGAATATAAAAGTAGAGTGGGGACTCAATGGGAGGCATTAAAAGTAAAAGTTACTAGAAAACAACTAAAATAATTTATAAATGCAATTGACAAGCAAAGATAATTTAGTCTCATAGCCATGTTATAAAGAAAATCAAGAGGCAAGATTTATTATGTTTCAACCTATAAAATAGTATTATATTATCAAATAGCTCAACATTTTTTTTCTCCCCCAAATATATTTATATGACCCATGTATAAAGAAAATGAAGCAAGTATAAAACTTCATATGGGGCAAAATGCAGTTCTAGTGGAGTTATAAGTTGATGAAAGAACTGCAACAAAACCATAAACTGGACTCCTTTATTTATTTCTTGTTGATGAATTTGACTAATAATACTAAATAAGTAGTAACATACTTTGCTTTACAATTGGTTTAGCACTTAAACTTGCAGCTCCATTTTTTAAGAGAGTGACTAATGAGTACAAAGAACAAGTCATAACCTCCACACTGCAGTTAACAAAAGGCTTTATAGTCAAAGATCATTCTAAACAATACAAGTAATTCTTTCCATGATGCATTGAATTCGACCATCGTAATTTGTAGGTAAGACTTATGTGAATTTAGAAGCAAGTTTGAAACCCAAGATTATATTATTACATGGAAGATGTGCGTGTGGAATGAGGGCAGTAAGTTAAAATGAAGTTGATGAGTTAAATTTTCACATGATTTTTCCCATAAAGTAAATAATGAAGCATGAGAAAAGTATGAAGAAAGAAGAAAAGTACAACTCGTCTTATCTTTGGTTTTTATCTTTCAGAGTACAATAATAGATACAATGTGGAAAAAATCTCTACTAATGATAATTCCATGATTGGAAGGGACATGTTTGTTTTTGTTCCCGTCTCGTGGTCATTATGGTGGCCAAGGTTAGAGCGCCGAAATTTTGGATTGTGTAAGAAATAAAGAATTGGCTAATTGTTGAAACCTACAATATAAGAGATGTAAACGTAAACATATGAATATAAGCAAAAGACATGCTGCATGAAGTCTTGGACAAATCGATATATGAAAGAAAAGAAGAAAATCTGTACTTTCATAACTTACAGTTGAGAGGATTGTGATGTCAAAGAAACAATCATTGTGCCGCAAAACAAAATCTATTGCCATTAGAAGATTGCCTTGTAAGATTAGACCTATACAAAATAATCCGAACCATGAAATCAAAACATCATTGGAATAAAACAAAAATTTGAGGTGCTATGAAATAACGATCCATATATCTCTATAAAGTTTAAAACTAAAAAATAGTCTTTCATTGTTGAATCCTCTTGTGGTCCGCATCAAGAAACTTGCTAAAACAAGCTTCAACGTAAAAACCAAACCAAACTAAACTGAATTTGAAAGCCAAGTCAAACTCAATTTTCCTCTTAATAAGATTTCTTCATAAATACCTCAAAAAAGCAGATAATATGAAAATACCATAAGAAGTAAAATACAAGGTGATCCTATTTGAAAGCTAAAAAAACAAGCACAAAGAGAGAAATTGCTAATCACATAAGAATGAAGAGAAGCAAAATAACTTAGGGTCCGTTTGATTGCAAAATTGGAAAATGGGTTGAAAGAAAATGTTTTACAGGGAACTGATTTTCCTAGAAAATGTTTTACTGAAAATTGTAATTAATTGTGTTTGATTGGTAAATTTTTTTATGGAAAATGTAGAAAGTTTTGTATCCATTTGATTTCGTTTTTTATGAAATTTGTCCATTAAAGTGATAATTTTTTCTACCATTGGATCTAAAATTTGTTCCAATTGTAAAAAAAAAAAAATTGAAAAAAAAAAAATTTACTATACCGAATATCGTTCGTTTGACTTTGTTTTACATGGAAGTTGTCAATAAAAGTGAAAATTTTTTTTACCATTGTATCTAGAATTTGTTCACATTGCAA